GATGACCCAAACGGTCATGCCACAAAATGAATGTTTTCTGATCATCTAATTTTTTATTAGAGATAACATTCACTTCAACGGGACTAATGTGAGTATAATATAGCCCCGAGGAATACGCTGGCATCTTTTCACAAAGAATTTTATTGCCAGATTTGGTTGTCGTTAGACACAAGTATTCCTTTTGATTTTCTGTCATGGTTTCAATGTGATAACCATTTTGACGCATATCTTTAAAGCTCAATAAATTCCTTCGAGATTTGCTGGAATATAATGCGTCTTTGATAATTAATTTTGTTCCTTGGGGAAGGATTAAACAAGCTATTCCAGACCCTTCAATGAGCTTCGCAACACCAAAGATTGTATTGACATTAGTTTCCATCAATGTCATTTGAGAAAAATATTCTTTGTTTCTCAAAATGGTGTGTGTTGTGGCACTGTCAATTAGACATTGTTCTTTGTCACTGGAGCCATAAGCAGTTATCTCCATATCTTGAATACAAATAAATATATAAATAAATATAAGTTAAAGATAATTAACACAAATATCATACATTTTATTATCATTATTTTTTTTTAGAAAAGACATAATAATACAAGCACACATGAAAATAAAATACAAATTTCCAACATTTATTTAAAAAGTAAACACACCATAACAGAGTAAATGAAAATGTTTAAATAGTAGTAGTTCCACCAAAAGTCACTTCATCACCAATTTCAGCATCATCCATGTAGAAATCGGACACGTCAAATTTAGGCAAAATTGGATTGATATCATCAGCATAATTAGCTTCCACATTTTTCCCTTTTTCCTTTTGTGGAAGCCTGGTATAATTTAACCAAATGTTTTGTCGTTCGACATTCATTCGCCCAGTGTCCTTTTATGCCACATTTGTAGCATTCACCACTTGGTTTTGGCTTTTCATAAGTTTTAGCCTGTGGTGGTTTGAATTTTCCTTTTCCTTTGGAGGATGATCCATTTGGATTTTTATAGCCCCTGTTCAGCCCTTTGTTGCGGTTATTTCCGCGTCCACGTTTAAAGTGTCCGCGAGCACCACCTTGGATAACATTTGATTCTGGTGCTGAACCACTATCAGGATGGCCAAAATTTGTAGGGCTACAACCGGTGGGCCTCATGTTATGATTTTTCATTAAGAGCTCATTATTCTGCTCAGCAACAAGTAATACTGAGATTAACTCAGAATACTTTTTAAAGCCCCTTTCTTTGTATTGTTGCTGTAATATCACATTTGACATATGCATGGTGGAAAAAGTTTTCTCCAACATGTCATGGTCAGTGATATTATGTCCACATAATTTTAATGTGGACGTGACTTTAAAAATAGCAGAATTATAGTCACAAACGGATTTAAAATCCTGGAATCTTAAATTGATCCATTCATACTGAGCTCTCGGCAGTAAGACCTTTTGTTGATGACCATATCTCTCTTGGAGATTATCCCATAATTCCTTCGGATCTTCCACCAATAAATATTCAGATTTCAAACTTTCGTGAAGATGGTGGCGAAGGAAAATTATGGCTTTTGCCTTTTGCTGAGAAGATGATGTATTATTTTCAGCAATTGTATTTTCTAGGCCATTAGCCTTGAGGTGAGAAAGTGCATCAACCCTCCATTCCAGGTACCTTTGACCGGATAAATCAAGAATGTCGAATTCTCTTTTGGTGATATTGGCCATGGAATAAAATACTCTGTACAAAACAATGAATTTAAATTTATTACCGATTGAATTATTTTTAATTAAATATTACTCCGTACTATAGAATAAAAATCAAAGAATCAAAACAAAAACATGTTTTGTAATAATTATGGAGCATCCTAAAAGTACGTACACTAAAAAAAATCCCATGACATGATCACATTAAAATGGAATCTTAAAAATTCTATATACTAGAAAACAAACAAATAAATTAGTAATTTATTTTATTGTTATCCTTTATTATAATAAAGGAGACTCGGATGCACGAGAATGCGACATTTGGCACGCCTATTTGGCAAAAAATGGAACACATCATCAAGCCATGTAATAATAGAAAAAATCTTTTAATATAATAAAGAAGACTCGGATGCACAGAAACTCGACATTTGGCATGTCTATGTGGTAAAATTTAAACATGTCAACATGCCACGTAATATCCAAGTAAACTAGCGGAAATAAAATATATACGATGCACCAGCGGATCTCCTGTTGGAAACAATTGACCGCAGATTTTCTATGCAATAATCACTAGCCTTCAACAAAAAATTTTTCTTCAGATTACAACAATACGAACTCCTATTATGATGATAATATAAAATAATTAAAAATAAATATGAAAAAATATGAGTACTATTTAAAAAACAAATATAATATTTTTCATTTAATTTAAATAGAATTTTAGGACCATGCTACATATATTAATCCTTTATCTTACTTCCATATTTAAGAATTACATACTTAAATAATAAGTTACAAAGGTTTATTGTGGAAATTCGTGTATAATAAAAGTTAAAATCAATAGAGTACCTATATTACTGGAAATTAGAATATTATTTTTTACAAAAAAAATATATTAAGAAACAATCTTAAATAATACTAAATTTGAAAATGATGATCACGAGTATATTACTCATCACCTTACTTATATTATTTATGTTGGATAATACTAATATTATTTTGGATCCGTTTACTTATATATGGAAATCCTTAATTATGTGTCTTGGATAATCAATAA